AATCAATGATAGGCCGTTATCGTACCCCGGGCATCCCCGTTCGGAATTAATGGTCGAGTGGTTTCTGAATTATTCGATTCGTTACGTTTATCGTCACGCGAGCGAACGGACGGCCTCCGGGGTCGGGGAATTAGCAGCATCGTCGATAGCGTCGTATTCTTCGGGCCCGGCCCGGTAATTGGAAGAGACGCAGTAAATTAGTCGATTAGGAGGACGCGTTATCGCGATACAATGTGACGGTCCGGCTAGGTGGATCGGGCATACGCCGACGGACATACACACGGCAAACGCCGGCCAGGTTAGGCGCGTTAGGGACAACCCATTAACCTCCGTGCTCCACGCTATTACGCCACGGACATATTGCTTCCTGCTGTTGGCCACGATGGCTCGGGGCTCTATCTCAATCTCGCTCTCTCCCGCCTCCTCCGAGGGCTTCTTTCTCGTTCTCACGGCTTGATCCGGGCTTTCCTGGGTCCACCTCTTTATCCGTCGCTTTATCTCCTAGGTCTCTGTGTTTCGCCTCGCCGTCTTTCTCCGTTCCACTCTTCCGTTGCGTTTCTGTAAACGGGATATAATAAACGCGGCCGAGATTTCCTCCCCATTACGCGAATCGTGCTCAAACGGAATTTACGGGCGTCGTTCCGAGAAAACGTTTCGACGCTTCGATACCTGTGAAATATCAAAATCGTTTCCGACTCTCGGGATAATGATAGGCTATCCTTACACCGGGAAATTGAAAGACGGGGGGGATCGATTATAATTCGTTTTAAGGGGTTGGATATGCTACCGTTTTGCTTCGATAATACATTGCGTAAAACTTGCGAAAATTTCCTTTAAAGCGATCCTTGCACCGAGACGTCGGAATTATTCGCGTTTACCTCGAAAAATGGCGCGACAACCCTTCGATTAACCATCGTCCTCGCCAACGGAGAGCACTCCTGTACCTGACGGAGTTCTACGCGCCTTGGAATTCCCGAGACGACGCGGATAGGAGCTGTTATTCGAGAAGGAAGCGCTCGTTCGCGATGCGCTCTTATTGGAAAGAACCCTCGAGGTATACGTCGGCTGGTGCGCCTCGCTAAGGGCGACAATTACCTTCGTCCGGGGCCCGTCCAAACGAGACGCCAGTAATCGAGTGATCCTCCTTCGAGAGTGATAATATCGCACTCGGAATCTGTATTCAGAGCAAAGAGCCGTAGGCGTTTGCTCGGGCGTCTATCATCGGGGCGCATCTCGATTTTGGTAGTTAGAGGAATCGCGATTCTTGGGGAAGATAGCCCCGTCGATTCTCTTCGTGCGATTTTCTAGACGACAGCCACTGTCGCGAAGACTGTACACAGTTTTCTCAGGAAGGTCCTGTGTGTCTTTATCCAGTAATTATTTGGAGGGATGGGAAGTATTTTAGAAAACAACATCCTCAAGCTCCTCTTGGGAAACCCTTTGGTAAGAAAAGTCATGGAACGCGATGATAACTACATCACTAATGCTAAAAATAGATTAATTTATATCTAAGTAGCTCTTTGTAATCTCGACAAAATTAAAGCATCACTCGTTCGAAATTATTATAGTATCTGTACGAGAACTTTCCCATAAAATGACACGTAGAACTATATGCTTCCCGTCCGTTAGGAATTGATCGGTCTCCCCTCGATGTTCTGGAGAGCTCTACGCCCTCTCAAAAAGGGCCAATAACTCGGTTATCTCGACGTAGGATTGCCAGCAATCGAAGAAAAGTTGGCAGCGCGAAGGGCGAGAGTGATTAGACGAGATGCGAGGAGACAAGCGGAAGGGAGCCCTCTAGTCAACGTTTGGCAAAAGCGAAGCAAAAGTAATCGAGCGATCCTCCTTTGTGGTCGACGAAGCCGCCCGTGGGACTCCAATTCGAGGGAGAAGCCGTCGGTTTCGTCTCCGCTCCCTCGCGATTCCCTAGATTACCAGGGTAACTCGATTTAGGCGATTCGAGGTCACGGGAGCGACAGATCATTCCAGGATACCCGATCGCGTTTCAGGACCGGGAGCAACTCGGTTCGTTCGAGTCATTTTTGGGGTCGTCGAGGTTGAAATCTGACGTTGAAGTTGGAAGGGGTTAATTTGAGATGGCGTGGTCGGTTCAGAACGTAAGAGAATTGACGCACGTCTCTTGCGCTCAGATGTCGAATCACGCGAGTGGAAATCTAAATTGAGTCGCCTTAGATAGATACCTTAGAGAGAAGTACACATGCATTGTAAGTGCATCATGGCGGAGTGAAAACATTCCTCCTCTTATTCGGAACAATTCATGCCTATTTAAAACTAACATACATGGAACTCCCTTGCCAGTTACACTACCGAGAGCCCTACAAAATTTAAATATTTCGACTAGTATACGAGCTCTACTGCAGTTCCACGTTGGGACGTCGACGAGAAGAGCGGTACGCAATCGGAAAATCAACCCCATCAGATTTTATTAGGAAGTACTTGGAAAGTACTCGAACCTCTCCTCGCTATTGTTCCCTTCCGCCATCGTTGTTGCAAAGCTGTAACACGGACCCTTCGACCGCTTGGCACTTGGCGCTCGCCTGTTGCCCGAAGCTATTCTCAATGAAAGTCTCGAAAAGGAGACTCGCATTTCACCTCGCCATAAGCTCCCAACGTTCACTCCCGATCTAGACAAGGATTAATGGCAAGTTGATCAGCATGCTTAAAGTTCTGTGTAGACAAAGCATACGAACAAATTTCCTTACTCGTTTCAAGCGCAAGTGTCCAATTACCGTAAATAAAAGATGGAACGACCCAGCTCGTAGCGAATACACGAAGGAGGGGAATCGCAAACCGCGGTGCGCCATTTGTTCCCGTTACGCGATACGACGAGACCCATTAGACGACTTAGACGAGTTTCTGCTCGCGTAGGAAAGACACGGGAGACCAGGAAACGGGCTGTCGCAAGATGAGACGCGCGCGAAACTGGGTTAACCGGAACTCCGGTGTTAAATCGCGTTGTGTCGTATCGATCATAACGTCGTTCCTGGCCCTGTCGCTCGTTGAATTTTTTAGCGAGTTCGCGGTGACGTCCCGGGAATTAATTACGAGTCGCGGAGTTTTTAGAATTCATTCAAGACGACCGCGATTTCCTGCCCGACTTCTCGCCCTCGTGCTCCACGAATAGGGTCGACGCCTTGGGGAAAGGGTTAACGCTTCCCAGAAATAAAATTAGCCCTGGATAAATCACGCGTAGGAATCGTTGCTTGTTATTCCCGTCGGTTCGGGATCTTCGGCGATTTAAGGATTAACCGACGAACCCCTCGTTTCCGCGTGATTCGCACCCGAGTCAGCGTTTCCCGGATCAAGGTTCGCACGAAGGTGAGGGAATTCGGAAGTTCCTCGAGGGTGTGTGGGGAGGCAAGAACGAGTTAATCGGCGGCCGGAAACGCGGCGAAAGCGCGTTAGGACTCTCGGTGGGATTCGCGCCCCTTTAATCCGCGTGAGCCGCTTGGAACAACTTCGGGAGAACGCCAAGAAGTCGGAGAAAAGAATACGTATCAGTGGCAAATGTTAAAGCTTGGGATAATAGTATCGAAAGTGGTAAATAGTAAATTTTATTTTCAATCACACGTCCGTCAACAAAATAAAATAATGTATTTTATTTGGAGAATATTGAAAACAATGAAGCAGCGAAGATACTTGCCTCATCTATTGCTACGAATCGTTGCTAGTCCATGGATTCATGCGTTACGCAAATATGAAAAACGTACACAGAATGAACGCATTTATACAGAATGAAATATTGATATATTATGAGTATATTGCGAAATATATTCTGCACACGCTTTGCATATGTTTCCCATGCAAGCATACGCCGTAAAACGAATGTATACAATCTACATACAGTCCAGCCATTACGATATTGGCATACATGTTTAGCGACATACCGGATACTTCATTTTTATTTATTTCCACGATTTATTTTCATCGTCAAGAATTAATCGAAGTGCGTGCTCCATATACAGAGCTGAAATATTTAATTCTTTACTGAAAATATTTCAGTTGGGCATCTGCTATTTAAAATAGTACCTGCAATATTTCGACGATGCACTAGAGACGGAGTAATTCAAACCACTCCTCAGAGACAATTTCGGATATTATTCTGAATGTTATCAGAGCAATCTTACCGTTTCTCGTTTTTTCTATTAAGAAATTTCTGACATAATAAATGAAGTAAACCTTGGTATATCACAGAAGAGCTTGGGATAAGAACCAAACCGTTCCCCAGCTGGCAAACCTGTCGAATACAACCTGGCAAACTCGGTATCGATGGGTACGCATTCGATCCGAAAAATGGAGTCGCGACGACGAAAAAGGTTCGCGCGGGAACGACTCGTTTCGCTTTAAAAGAGGATCGTTTACAGACGGTGAAGGTTTCTCGTCCTTAAGCCAGGAGTTTACAGCGTTAAGGGGCTTTTCTTTTGTAGGAATCTAACCGAAAAATAAGGCACGGGGATTCGAACCCACGATCCTCGGATCCACAGTCGACCGCTTTACCTACGCGACCAATCCCGTAACCAACGTTTCGTGTTCTTATTTGACTCCTTATTGTTGGGTATGGAAGGCGCGGACACTACACTTTATTCCTCGTTACCTCTCGCTTAGCACCGAGCGGAGCAGTTCCTTTCGCGGCGAACCACATGGTCCTCGGCACGAGCAGTATCGCCCACTTCGACACCCCCGCATGATAACTTGAAACTACACAGCGAGTCGGAGAAGTGGCTAATTGACGACTTCGAGGGATTTATTTTAAATTTAAATTGCGAATTCTTAATTTCCAAGCAATATTTTTCTTTTTCTTATACGTATCAATTTTTTGATATTCGTCCTACGACCTGAATCTTGTATTCTATAAAAGCATCAATCCTTCGACGTCATCGATTAAACAAACAATTATACACAAATACTCCTGTGATTCGCTGTAAGCGATACTGAAAGACCTCCGCGCCGTACTAACCACTGTTTCACTTTTGCAACAGATGCTGGACGTCAAGGACACAGGCAGAGGAGTATTCGTGTGCAGCAGTCCGGGTCCTGATCCTTACACGTCGCAGGACCTGTATAATCCAGTCTACGAGGAGCTCAGCAACGGTGAGTTGTCCAAACGAGCCTGTTACAAATTTTTTCGTCACCCAATCATTGCGCGTAAAATTCCCCAACGGAGTACAGCGAATCGTTTCGACGCACAAATGCATATTACACGCTCTCCTTCTAGATGAGACTCGCCTGTGAGGACTCTGAGGAGTAACGCTCGATCCTGCTGAGAGAGAACATAGGTACGATCCAAGTACACGCTTCCGAGGATTGCCGCCACTCATGCTGGCTTAACTTGCGATTAACGTGTGGTTAAATTGAATTTGAACTTTGCTATTAACCGAGGCTAACACTGACTTGCGAGTTTCTTACGTCCGGGACACCCTGCCTTGAATTAATCGTGCATCCTCGCGTGGCTGGTCCTCTCTACGTTCTCTGACGTGGATTTATAGTCATTCGGGGAGTAGCGATTGGACAATAATTACATTCAATACTTTTTGTTTTGTCCATTTCGTTTTAAAAAAATATTCAAAGTCTTCCACCGTAGGCAAACTCGCCCCCACATTTATATCAATGAGGGTCCCACATAACTTATTCCAGACCACATCACCGATCTCGAATCGCCGCTTGAATGACTATGCCATCCAATTAACGGTTGCTCCAGCGAGGATAGAGCTTCCTGCCTTTCAGTTCTCGCGGAATCCCGAGAACAGCTCGTTTTCCTAAACGAGAGGAGACTCTAAAAGGCCAGGCTTTCCCAACTCAATTCTTTCTGGCGCTTATCTCCCTATTAATTCGACGAACGGTCGGCAATGAAGTTCCGTGTCTAATCTCTGCCAGAACGGAATCGGAAGCTGTTCATCTTCTTCCCCGTGTATCTTGTTCCTTTCCCGCGGCGAGTATCTTGATAGCCTCCCCTCTCGCCGTGCATCCATTCCCCCAGCACCTCCCACTTAGCTTTCGGTGGAAGGAGATAAGCGTGACACGACCTCTGACTTATACTTCCCATTAGTCGAATGGCTAATTAGCATGGTGATGAGACTTTCGACGTTTGACGAGGACGCGGTAATCGAATATACATGCTGCGCCGACGAGCCTCGCTCCCTAACCCGTTGTCTCTGTAACCACGTATGTTCCCCAGCTACTATTAGTGCTAGACATTCGAATTTGTCTGTCGAGAGACTCGGAACATTGGAAATCGCGAGATTGCAGTCGCTCGGAACGTGAGGTGCTATCAGAAGCTGTTGGACGCCTTGCAAATTAATTTTGTAAGAGTGTAAACGAAAAATGAACCACGGAGATTCGAATCCTCTTAAAAGCAAAACGAATCGAAAGCTTTACGAATAGATAAACATCTCTATTTATGCAAGGCTGCGAGATCGATCGAGCCTATCAAGGAAGGATCCATTTGGACCCTCGCGCAGAACGAATCCACGCACACCAATTTACCTTGACGGGAGATCGTATTCCAGGTTCTCCTGGACGATAATTTGTCTTGGTTAACGTCACCACGGGGGTGGTCTTGTCCTCCCGAATCCCCTTCCGTAGGAAAAAGTTCGACCGAACTCGTCGAAAACCTTGAAACTTTTTACCCGAAGCAACTTTCGGTCCTTGTCTCGCGATTATCGCGCGCGAGCCATCGCGTGGCGCAATTCGTGCAAGGCCCGGTCCACGTATTTTGAGGTTTTTGAATTATTTTACGCGGTAACGAATTCCTCCCCGTCTCGTGGAATTTAGGCTCCCCGGGGAAATCCTGGCTGGCTCGCCATCGGCATCGCTTCGAGGACCGAGCGACAAACAAGGAAAGGTACACAATAACGGAGATTAAAAGTGCAACCAGGGTAAACAGACAAGTACTTCCCTTCTACCCTTTTTAAGCGAACGAGAGCGCACCTACAGAGAGAAACTAGGGTGGAACGTCGATTAGGAGCTCAGACCGGAAAGATTTTTATCAAACATAGTAACACAAAGCTAACTGAAAGCAATCATACAGAGTGTCATAGAGTCGACCTTCCTAAAATACTGACTGATAAAAAATACTTTGAAACCCTGAAATAACTTTATGAAACTCCAAGGATCACGAGCTCTCATAAAATCTCTGCTTTTAAACAAGCCAAAGTAACGAACCTCTCTTCCTCCGTTTACAAGTAAAACCACCTTCTGATATCATCGATTAATCGATCCCAAAATGTCCCCAGCGACGATCCTGCGTTCACCTAGATCGAGAAAGCACGGTTCCAATTCCATCCACGCCGTGATCGTAACTTTGACGCGACGAAGAAATTGCCAGTTAATTAATTAACGTGCCGTCCAATTAATTATCGCTGCTGGACCGAGCGACGAATGCCACGGGTGCTCATAAATTATTCATCCGTTCCAGGGGATCATCCGGAAACGGACGAGGAGAGCGAGCTGAACGCTCGGAACCGGCTGCACCATCATCATCGGCATCATCATCGGCCGACGTCGTCGTCGAAGCCAGCCAGCGAGGACGAGTTCGCCGAGGACGAGCTCTCGGTTGGCGAGCCGTCCGAGGCGAGGATGCTCACCTCGAGCGGACCCACTTGGGGCACGTGTCCTGCTGGTGGCAGGCCACCGCGGGAGAGACGCGGTAGGAGCCCCAGGAGCCTCGATAGACGTAGACGAGACAAGAACCACGATGTGGGCGAGTTCCACGAGGGGATGCTCCTGGACGCGTTGCTGCAGCTCTACCCTAGCGTCGCTGGTGAGTTCCGCTTTGAACTTTGTGCTGAAAGAGGCTAGAAAGACCTGCTCTCTACGAACGTATAGTTCCCGGTATAGGTAGAATCTTGGGCACTAGTGGTGTCTGAAGATGAGTCACTGTGTTAGAATTGCGTATAGGAGGACTGGGGAGACTATAGTCTGAGAGTGTTCATCTTTTTGCAACCACAGGCCCTCAACGTCTAGTGAACTTCTTTCCCTTCATCTTTATTATTCAGGAAAGTTATTATAAGTATAAAAAGTTTCATTCTACACTCGAAAGATCCGAGTCAGGCTTTGAAGAGTACATCCTACCACACGAGTCCCAACGAGTCCCCAACCAGACTTCTCCATTGACCCTAAAATTTGTATTTTCAGGCGTGGCTGGCACCCGAACCAATAGCAATCACCGCCAACAGTCCGTCCCATCGGTGGCCCACAGATTACCGTACTTCGTGCCCCCGATGCCAGCGACCCAGGCCCTCCGAGTCGAGGAGAACCCGTACGAGAGCGTTCCGGTGTTGGGACCCCTGCACCACTACTCCAGCCAAGGCAGAAGCAACAAGGACAGGTCTCGCAAGTCGAACGACAAGTACAAGTACTCCTCGCAGTACGGGGCCGAGTACTACGGGCTCCAGAACCAGGACACCGCTCCTGTCTACACGCAAGTGGGGACCGAATACTCGGACACCTACTCGCAGCCTACGGATCGGCTCTACAACGAGGACAAGTACACGCAACCCGTGTACTACGGGCCCAGGGACGGCGATCAGATCACCACGGGCAGGCTGTACCAAGGTCAGCCCGACAGCAGCTTCGGTAGCGACAGTGGGTACAGCCACCACACTTCCGGTACCACTGGCACCACAGGCACTCGCAGCAGCAACTCGAGGACGAATCATCGGAAGGACAAGCATCGGAACTCGCATCATTCCCATCACTCGGCCGACTACATCGTGTCCTAATGATCGATCGCGTGGGGGACGATCGAGTCCGAGGAGGAGACGAAGCTTGTAATACTTTTCTAACGAAAGTAGCGATCCCGCGTTTCCTTTCGCGTAATTTATTTTATTGTTTTCCTTTTCTTTCTTTTTCGTTCTTCTCCTCTCTTTTGTTTTGTTTCTCACCAGGGAGGAGAACGTTTTATTTTCGCGAAACGACGGTGCTCGCGGTATGTTTTTTTATTTATTTATTTCTTTCCTTTTTTTTTTTTTTTTTTTTTTTTTTTTTTTTTTTTTTTTTTTAATTGTTGCGCGTGATATAGTATTTTAGTATTTCGAGACGTGTCTGGGGGATGAAGGGAACGAAGAACCGTACTCCGATGGACGATCGAGAGATTCAGGGGATATATCCAACGCAGAGCAATAGAACGACTGTTAACGGGATGGTCTATATGTGGGGGGAGGGGGGTGCGTACAGTCACGCAAACAGTGATCTCTTAGTGATTTAGCAAGACTATTTAACAAATTATTTGTAATCCAAATGAGACTCAGGCTGGTACCAAAGGACGCTAACAAGTACTTCGACTTTTTAGCCTTCTAGTTTGTAATTTATACAAGTAGAGCTACTCGCGAGACGATTTTTTAAAAGAAGAAAAAAAAAAAAACTAAGTAAAGAAACGCTGACGAGTTTCGTGCGAGACGTGCGACTACCTTCTCCAGGAAAGCTGCCGCCGCGTTTCATCGTGAAACGAAGAGAAAAGGAACGAAAAATATATATAAAAAAAAAGAAAAAAAAAAAGAAAAGAAAAGAATAAAAGAGGAAACAGTCCACTGCCAAATAATCCTAAATAATAATCCGCAAAAGACTGCCCCACGACTAAGAGATATCTGCCAACTGGTTTCGTACAAACAAACAAAAAAACAATTTGATACGACCACGCGATAAGAGAATTCGTCCCGCACGTTTCCCCCATACGCCCCCCCCCCCATCGGACTGTAAAATAGCACCTAGATACCTTCTCGTGCACCTAGCTACGTTCACACGCAATCCCACGCACGTACGCGAGCACGGACACGCGCGAACTCACACAAACGTAGTTTCACCGAATATAATAAGCACGCTCGTCAAGTCGCAATTTTATCCTTCGTCAATTACAAACGGTAATTATCGTAGCACGGATAGCGTAACGTGCCAGCCGCGCAAGCTCTAGAGGAGGAACGGTTGGAAGGAAGCTCCTATATTTGCAAGCTCCTGTATTTCCCGCGCGAGGCCGCGGCGCGCGCGTTCGAGTAAGAAAAAACGATCGAGGAAAAGGACCGTATAGACGGGGGGCTTTCGCCGAAAGCCTTACTTTTGCAAAGCCCGCTTTTGCAAAGAGAATACATAGTGTTCCTTCCGCGAGCCCTCTCCCGCTCGTACGACATTCTCAAAGCCCTCCTCCGACGGCAGATGGTTGCTACCCAAGACGGTTTGTTCGCCCCGCGAATCGCGACGTTTCCTTTTTCGCAACGGATCAAGTCGACGATGGCCTATCGTCTCTTTGAATACGTGAAACGACCTCTTTGTGGGATCGTCTTTCGGAATACGCGTTCACGGAAGGAACGTGAACGCGCGCCGCGGGATGACGTTAATAATACTCTCGCAGAATCGTGCCCTTGCCCCCCCCCCCCCACCGCCGCCGCCAAGAATAGACGAGGACGTTCCTCGTCGGCGTTATTGACGTTATCTCGCGCAGACCATGGGATTTCTAACATTTGGTAGTCGCACGATTTTACGCTCGCGAGACGCTTCGATCATGCTGCCAGAGAGACAGACCAACGTGAGAGAGAAGGATTATCGAGGGACAGTGGTCTTGCCGCAGTCGGTGACGAGATCGGTTGTCTGCTGGTGGTGAAAGACAAGGAAACTTTGTTGGAATGATTGATAAGGGACAGTTTTTAGTATTAGACTCGTATTTCACGGTTTGACTCTCTGGTTTGGACTTGGGCTCGTCAAATTAATGTACGAGGAGATTTTGCTATGATTATATTCAAGGGTGGTGGCCTCTTTCAAGCGATAACTATGATTGAAAACAAGAAAGTTGGGGTGATATTTATATACGCGAATTGTATTGGGATATTTATTAAATTAAGGCATGGAAACGTACGCATTATGTATATAAAATCCTTTGCTTGGAACTTATTATTGAGAACGTGTAGAACGTGTAAGTGATGGTACTATAGAATTTATAGCTTCTAAATATCATACCAAAGCAAAGAGTCAAAACGTGGAATAGGAAATACCTTATTTGAGGCTGAATATTTCAAAATTTCTTATTCAAAATTTGCGTCAACTTCGATGGAGGCCAGTGTCTCCACCCGTGAGTCACAAGGGTGGTTCACTCCATCCGAAGAGTTCCTCGAGCGGACGACCGATTTGGGCCCGGCTGCGGGTTGTACAGACGCCCGCTGATATACATACATACAATATACAGAAGCAACCATACCTATACATAGTATAAGTGTAAGAAAGTAGAGATCTATTCGCGAGCGACCCTGTGTAAATATGAGACGAGAAGCGAAGGGAGAGTGACGCGTGGGAGCGTTCGTATTCCTCCGGTGTAGCATAGCTGTATCATATCGTTATCAGACAGTGTGGGTGCGTGTGTGCCATGGTGCGAGAAAACAGAGATCGAATTTAATATATATATATATATATAATATATATATAAATAAAAGTGTATAATTTTTAAATTATTTATAAACGAGCGCGTTGCTTTGCGTCAACGGCAGCTACGCGTGCGCAAGGCGAATGTGAAAATGCGAGAGAAAAAAAAGTGAGAACGTAAGAGTGGAAGAACGATTGAAAAAGTTGCAGAGAGTGGACATTGAATTATTCAAACGGGCCGTCCCGGAAACGATTCTTTCGGAATCCCGAGCACCTCCCTTCCGCTTCTTGGTACTGTACACTCTTTAGGTGCATGTAGAGCGAATACCTCGCGACAAAGAAAAAAAAGATCACTCTGTTGTAAATATAATTTTATATGTACGACCCGGGGAATTGGGTGTGTGTAGTAGCGGACACGCTACCGGAAGCACGCGGAGGACCACCCTCTCGAGCACCCCTGACTACTCTTCCGAATAGAACAACAACAGAAGGATGAATAGGAACACAGGGACAAGACAGTTGTCATAGAATTGGAATAAAATGGAGGCTCGTTAGATAGAAGACTCTTAACCGTAGAAGATTTTTTTTTTTAAACTGAAGAATTCACACAGATTTTGCTTTGCGAATGCTTAATATTTGAGAATATATACAGCAATCTGAGGTGCACTCGAAAAGGACAGGAGAAGCGTGACCTCAGCCTCCAAGAAGCATCGGTACTTACAAAACACCCTGAACTTTGCTTTGAAGCAACCCTTAATGTAATATCTGATTCTTAGTCCATTTACAAACTTTGATCCAACCCTATCCCGACCAAAATCACATAAATCATATCAGTAGTGTTACTGAAACTACTATTACCGAGAAACCTTTAAAATCTCTCCCCACAGACAATGGAAACCGCGATTCATGTTTGAGAGAGCGTATCCAGGGGTGCTCCAGTGGGACCAGGGGTGCGCGGATGCAAACGGAGGTGAACCGTGGGTGGTGTTACACGTACTTACATCGCGGGAAAGCGCACGACCAGTCACGTATGATAAAAGATGCGTACAATCAAATAGTGCGAGAGAGAGAGAGAGAGAGAGAGAGACGCGTTCGCGGCGCGGAAACGCTCATGCGCGCAAACGGTGTCGAGGTAAACGCACGACGGAATTAGAAGACGAGGGACAAACGCTTTTTGTACGATTTTACGTCCATGTTAGTCAGAACACGTTTTTCAAGATCGTTTTTTATATATATAGTATGCGGTATATAAGTATAATATATGCAAACACAGACACGCGTGTACAGTAGGTACGACGAAACCTAATTTATTATCATTGTTCTTATTTAAAGTGGAGAGGGGGGACGTTGTTGTGAACCCCTTGGCAGCAATCTGTATTCGCTACCCATGTACTTTATCGCTATCGACGAATTGTTATATCGACCCTGATGCGAATCGTGTACAGTGTATTGATTATTATTATTATTATTATTATTATTACTATTATTATTTTATTATTATTATTGTCGTGCGTCGCCACCAGAGATGAATTCAGAGAGTTTTATTTCGCTTTTCGTATCTCGTTCTCGAAGAGAATTCGCGCGAGAACCGAGCACAAAGAAGCGCGGTAACGTTAATTCGTTTTTTCCCCAATCCTTTTGGAACGCCGTATACGAGTTGCGAGATTTCTTATTTATTGTTGCGTTCGAACAGGGGCAGGGACGCGGGGGTGTCGCGTTCCTCCCTTTCGGTCTCGCTAATTTTAGCTGCGATTTAGCAATATAGGCAGAAAGAAGCAGAGGGCAGAGGAAAAAAAAACATAGGCACTAGAGTACCTCGGAAAGATAACAAGTAGCACTCTTGAAAGTTAGCTTGCACGGGCGTTCTCCTTTTCCATCGTGCCGCGTTGCAATCGAACCGTGAACGATCGGGGTTCGGGGGTGAATCAAAGGGTGAATAGAGAGAAGGGCGAAGATCGATCGTCGCGAGGGGCGACGTAGGGAGACGGGATCGTAAAAAGAGCACGTTAAAACGGCCCGATCGACGGGGAGAACACCAGCTCGCAGAACAGGGTAACTAGCTCTAACATCTATCTCTTACGTCACTTAAGAAACAAAAAAAAAAAAAAAGACTCTATCACACTCGTTCACCTTATGGTACCACAGGTTCACTCTAATCACGAATGTCGGCCAAGGCTAACTCGAGACACTATCACACCTTCGTACTAATAAACGATTTACTATTCAATTTCATCGGATGCCTACGTCATTTCATTCTATCCCCCAATCGACTATCGGGGGTCGACGTTTTGCATACCAATCAAGAGCGTTCCGCGTGATTTTGTTCCACGCGGTAACGAATCGAACGATTTCGTCGTGGAGGGGATGATGTCTCAAAATAAAACTGGCCAATCGACGATGTTTAAACATTCATTAATCAACAGGAACGAGACGAGTGTGAGTAATCCGCGGCAACGTCCAACGACCGCGAGTATAACCCGGACCGGCGGGTCCAATTTTGCGCGCATGTTTTCCATTAGCCGCGCATCGGTTAACACGAATGCAAATCGCGAAATCGCTCGTCGCCGAATAAACTTTTCATCGTTCCGCGCGCGTTTACGAAATTTCGCAACGCGCGG